TGTGTATAACACTGTAATGCATCCTTCAACTAACATCTCTCATTAAGATATAAATGTTTCCAAATAAAAGTATAGATTCAAAAAAAAAAGACATGTTTCAGCCCATAACTTCTTTTTATTTCAAGTTTTCATTTAAATGCTAGTTAGTTAACATGTAGCCTGTCAATGAAATGTATGCCTTTAACTTCTATTGGTCAAATGTGGGTGAAGACCACTCTCGGGGCAGCTTTGACTGCATGCAGCCAACGTTCTCTAGCTCTGGAGCCTCCCAGCTTAATTGCCCAGGATTTATACACAATCAAGGTACAGCAGGTGCCCCAAACGACTCGTATGAGATGACATAAGGAAGAATGAGCCAGGTGGAGGAATCCCATGACCGAAGCACAGAAGTCATCAAACCGGGGGTCCCTATGTAGGGACAAGAGTGCAGATTTGTAAAGCACCTCAAGCTGTTTCAGATGTAGTGCCTGAGAGGAAGGGGTCAACCCCCACAAACCTTGCACATATGATTTAAAAGACACATGGCAGCCGCAGTGTTTTTCAGCGGCGACATAGGGACAGGGTAATTCACTTACTGGCTCCGAAGGCCTACAGAAAACCCAAGCTGCCGGCTCCGCTGCAGAAACACGGTGTTGGTCAAAAAAAAGGGAGCTTCCTCGGAGCAATTCTGCAACAGGTAGCCAATCTGAATCCTACAGACCACTCATATACCTTAAAGGATTATGTTTTAAAAGCGCTTCGAAGAGACTGGCCCGGATATGGTGAAATAGACAGAAATAGACAGAAGGTCGTTAGGCAGAGCTCTCTAGCACACTCATTCTGTCTCAGAATGCTGCAAGCACCGGCCATTCAGAATCTCCTGCATGTTCTAGAAGAGATGCTGCTTCTTCTCAGAATCAGCTTTGAGATTCAGATTTCATTGATCCTTTAATGAATAAATAAACTTGAATATCTCACCAGCAGGTCGAGTGCCTCCAACATTAAATGGTCACTTGAATCCCACCAGTGAACAATCTGCTCCAGGCCTCCTGCTGTCCCCTGCAGCCGCTGCCAGCCCTACCCCTCTGCCGCCGCCTTCAACTCACCGGCCCAGCTCCAATCCTCCTCAGATCGTAAATTCTAACTCCACTTCCCCTAGCACTCCAGCAGGCCGGGGGACTCAAGACCTACCTGTTGACAGTTTTAGTCAAAACACTAGTATCTGTCAGGACTAGCAAGACAAATATACCTCCAGGACTTCTCTGGAAACCTTAACTCTGGTTCACTTATACTGAAGTGTCCAAAGCCCATGGAGGAAGACCATTCAGTGTCTCAGGAAAAAGTCCAAAAAAGTCTAAAAACAGAAGGAAATGGGGCCAAATTAAAATGCACGACCTTGAGACAACTGAAGAAAAGGAAGAGGACCTTAAAAGAGAAGAGGAAATTGCCAAGCTGAATAACTCCAGTCCTGATTCCATTGAAGGAGTTAAAGAGGCTCCACTGAGCCTTCTTCAACAATTGAACTCCCAGATTATTTGACGAAATATATTGCTCTTGTCTCCTGTGAGACAAGGATGGCTTCAGTGCTGAGTATGATGGCCTTGCATGCCAGGATGGAGAATGTAGCTGGAAGATTTATCAAACTGGATACACAACAAAGGCAGCTTTCTTCAGGCTCAAAAGAGTATCAGAATGTTCATGAAGAAGTCTTATGAGAATATCAGAAGATCAAGCAGTCCAGTCCCAATTCTCATGAACAAAAATACAGATGCAAGTAACTTCCTAACAAGCTGACTCCCATCAGAAGACTAAGCGGTGAATTTGACCAAGAGAAGCGGTGAATTTGACCGAGAGAAGCAGTGAATTTGACCGAGAGCAAGCAGACTCATGGCACAGGACCTCTGCTTGGACCAGAAGCTGTGAATAAACCTAAGCTTATTTATTTAAAATTCCAAATGAGTTGCTATGAGATTTTTTTAAAAAATGAAACTTTGCTTGTTGAACGTTTCAGTGTTAGTAAACTTGAGTTATTTATTATTTTCCCTGTTGTACTTTGCTTCCCTGCAATTTTGAAGCTGTGTTTTCTGGTCCTCCCACTGCACCCTAAGACTTAGGTTTGTCAATAGAAATAAGTTTGTTTAATACTGGGGATCCAGTGTCTGTACTTCAACTTTTTTCCTTAAAAACTTGTGTTTGTCATTAGAAATGATTTTTTAAGATTTTATTTATTTGGGAGGGAGAGAGAGAGAAAGAGAGAGAGAGCATGACCAGCGGGAGGGGCAGAGGGAGAAGCAGACTCCCCGCTGGGTAAGGAGCCCGATGTGGGACTCGATCCCAGGACCGAGGGATCATGACCTGAGCCAAAGCTGGACGCTTAACCAACTGAACCTCCCAGGCGCCCTGAAATGATTTTTTTTTAGATATTGGGGATTCAATGTCCACACTTTAAAGTTATGTGTGTTTAAAAAAACCCAGTAATGTGCAAGGTGAAATGCTTTTGGATAAACATAAGCCTATTTTCTGACCTTTCTTATTGCAGACTCTTTGCCTTAAATGGTAGAAAACGTAGACATTTGCACAGAGTTCAAAAAAAATTAAAACATTGCTTTGGAGGGTTAAGAAATAGCAAAGTGTATGAGTATGTGTATGTGCATAGATTGTGTGTGTGTGCACAGATATGTACACACATGTGTATATACAGGCTGATTTGATCTAGAACAGTAAATCCACTCAGCAAGTTAACCATCCATTGCAATGGTTGCCTTGAGGCGTTTGCTAGTTGTGTACCTAGAGTGGGTAATCATTAGCTACATGCTTCGCACTTGGCTAGAGCAACAGGAAACATACTATGGTCTCCTTGCGTATGAATCCATGTGCTCGACCTGGATGTGGGCAGATTGTGTGATGGTGCAGAGTGGTGTGGATGTGAGCGTACATCAAGGAAAAGAGGCTGCCGCTCTCAATAGACCAAACACTGAGGTTAAACAACTGATGAGTGTTACTACTGGAGGGGTTTCTTTTTCTGGCAAATTGCTATTTGTATTGTGAGAGACAAGAGCATATCCATTTCAATGGTTTTTCAGCTTTATTAATGTTGGACAAAATCACTGTGTTATACAAATGTACCAGAGGGGCGCCTGGGTGGCTCAGTCGGTTAAGCGTCTGCCTTCGGCTCAGGTCATGATCCCGGGGTCCTGGGATCGAGCCCCACATCTGGCTCCCTGCTTCGCGGGAAGCCTGCTTCTCCCTCTCCCACTCCCCCTGCTTGAGTTCCCTCTCTCGCTATGTTTCTCTCTGTCACATAAATAAATAAAATCTTAAAAAATAAAAAGAAAAGAAAATGTAACAGGTCTGTAGTTTTGGTGCGAAATTATAAAATTAAACATCTAGGTAACCTACTTATATACTCCTATAAAGTATTTTTTGAAGAGAGATATGCAAAGAAACTTACATACATAAAATGATATTTAAAGATTTCTTTTTCATCCTGGGAGCCAGGAATATAAAAAAAGAGCAGATACATCTAACCATAACATATTATCAGTCATCAAACAGCACAAACTTTCATCTTATGGAGTTTATCTATTGATGTTGATTTAAGCTATCATTTGTTTTATCACGTGGAAACATAAGTTATGTAGTCAAAAATTCAAAAATATAAGGATTTTGAACTAATGTTGATTCAAGTTGTGATGTCTTATCATATTGTCTTTTCAAAGTGCTGCCAGTTGAAAAGGAAAGCACTATGTTTGCCAATCTGTTTTTGAAATGTTTGCCAGAATTTTGGTAGTATCTTGAATAAAGATGTTTTTCTCCAACATCCTGTAAATACATACTTACATACATACATATATACATATATACTGTTGATAATTGGTTTATGTTACACATTAAAAAAATTCCCTACTCAGGGAATATTACAATTTTTTCACTAGAATAGTTTAGAGAGAGAGAGAGAGTGAATTTAAATACTTTGTAAGAAGTATTTTTTTTACTTCTTTTTTAATTTTTTTTTAAGATTTTATTTATTTATTTGAGAGAGAGAATGAGAGAGAGCACATGAGAAGGGGGAGGGTCAGAGGGAGAAGCAGACCCCCCGCCGAGCAGGGAGCCCGATGCGGGACTCAATCCCGGGACTCCAGGATCATGACCTGAGCCGAAGGCAGTCGCCCAACCAACTGAGCCACCCAGGCGCCCCTTTTTTTACTTCTTAAGTAAAGATTATGTGTGTGTGCACAGATATGTACACACATGTGTATATACAGGCTGTATATTTAAAAATTTTTTAAGTCTACATGTGGATGTAATTTAAATCACTAACAATTTTCTTCTACAATCGGGGCATTAAGCAATTCTAATTGCACGGGATTGCTTCAAAGAAGAGTCTTTAGGTATTCTACTTAGTAGGCAGACTTTTATTCTATAGGATGTGTTTTCAAACCTAAGAAAGATACCCATTTTGCATATCATCAGTGCAAAATCCTCTTTAATTCTGTATCTATGTCTTTGCTCTCTTACATTTGCCGTGGAGACATTTCAAATGGTGGTATGGTAACTGTCTCAGACTTCTTGTTAGTATCTTTACTTTTCGGTGTCAGTTGCAAGAGTGAGTGAAGTAATCTAAAAACAAATTGAAAGGCATAGTGCTTATGTAATTATAAGCAAAAGCAGGAAGGGTGTCCTTTATAACTCCTAGTATACCTAGGAGACTCGAAATTAGATGCTTTCACAAATCATTCATGCAATTTTAAATGAAATTCGTTGGGCACCTGGGTGGCTCAGTTGGTTAAGCGACTGCCTTCGGCTCAGGTCATGATCCTGGAGTCCCAGGATCAAGTCCCGCATCGGGCTCCCTGCTCAGCAGGGAGTCTGCTTCTCCCTCTGACCCTCACTCCTCTCATGCTCTCTCTCTCTATCTCATTCTCTCTCTCAAATAAATAAATAAAATCTTAAAAAAAATAAATGAAATTCGTTAACAATTATTTGTTTGCTGATGTGGTGATGGGTTTTCTGTTCCACAGGTACTGGGAGATCGATGGGCGAACATCTGTAGATGGACCGAAGATCGCTGGGTTCTTTTGCAAGACGTCCTCCTAAAATGGCAGCGTTTTACTGACGAACAGGTGAGTCATGTGGGGAAATTGCATTGGTGAAAGACATGGTGAGATCGTAAATGGGTAAAGGAAAACATAAAATGATCTACTTCAGTAATTATTTATTTTCTTTTTTGGAATTGTTTGATTTCTTTCAGTGCCTTTTTAGTGCATGGCTTTCAGAAAAAGAAGATGCAGTGAACAAGATTCACACAACTGGTTTTAAGGATCAAAGTGAAGTGTTATCAAGTCTTCAGAAACTGGCTGTATGTATTTTTTAGCTTTCAAAACTTTTTTTTTTTTTTTCAAACCCAGTAGTTTACATTAACCCCATTATCTGGTCTTTTTATTCTTCCCAATCTTAAACCAAATGTTCATTGTTTGTGCTTAAATCATAGTCTATGCAATTATAGCATATTGTAAACTTTCTTAATTAAAATAGGGACAGCTCTATTATCTTAGACAGCTTGGGCTGCTATAACAAAATACCACAGACTGGGTGACATAAACAACAGACATGTATTTCTCACACTTGTGGAGGCTGGGAATGGCAGCCATGCCAGCAGATTTAGTTTTTGGTGAGGAATCCTTTCCTGATTTGCAGACTATACCTTTTTACTTTGTGCTCCCATGGTAGAAAGAGAGGAGGAAACTTTGTGTCTTCTTTCCATTTAAAAAAAAATTAATTTTAAAAATTGAGATATAATGGGTATGTCACATTTTATATTAGTTTCAGGAGTACAGCATAATGATTCAGTGTTTGTATATATTACAAAATGATTGCCACAATTAGTTACCATCCATCACCTCGCATAGTTACAATGCTTCTTTTTTCTTGTGATGAGAACTTTTAAGATCTATTCTCTTAACCACTTTCCAGTATGTTATTATCTTTTTAAAAGATTCTATTTATTTATTCCTAAGAGACAGAAAAAGAAAGAGAGAGAGGCAGAGGGAGAAGCAGGCTCCCCAAGGAACAGGGAGCCCGATGCAGGACTCAATCCCAGGACCCCGGGATCTGAGCCAAAGGCAGATGCTTAACCATGTGAGCCACCCAGGTGCCCCCAGTATGTTATTATTAACTGCAGTACATTTCCTTTACTTATTTACTTTATCACTGAAAGTCTGTACCTTTTGAGCAACCCTTACACATTCCCTCCTCTTATAAGGGCATGAACCCCAATATGGAGACTCCACTCTCATGATCTCATCTAAACCTAATAACCTCCCAAAGGCCCCACCTCCTGATACCATCACATTTTGTGTGTGTATATGGAGGTAGGGTTCAACATATGAATTTTGTGGGGACACAAGCATCCAGTCTATAACATTACACCCATGGATCCCCCCCGCCGCCCAGTTCATGTCTTTCTCACAAGCAAAATACATTCATTCTATCCCATGAGCCCTGGAAGTCTTAAATAGGAGAAATAGGAAAGAAGGAAGGGGTGACAGTTCCCATAAAGGTCTAAAACACAGCAAAGAAAATTCCATTAGATCTTAAGCCTCAAGAATAATCCTCTTTGGACTGATACACTGCCCTCCAGGACCACTGGAGTAACAGGATCACCTCCAGAGCTCCACAAGGTGGCCCCACCTCTTCAGTTCCATGGGGGACCACCCATGTGGCTTCTGCAGCAGCCCTACCCACAGGATTCTCGGCAGTGGCCCCGCTCCTGAGGTACTACTGGGTGGGAGCATCCTGCCCCATGAACTGGAGATGTAGCCCTACCCTTTGAAACCCAGGAAGAGCTAGCCCCGCCATCTGGGCCTGTGGTGGGAGTGGTAGCTCTTAGGATCTCTGAATCACCTACATCATTCTTCCCTCTTCTTGAGCAGTTGCACCTCTTGGGCAGCCCGCCTTCATTCTGTCTAGTTTTCTCTGTTTCCTTTAGTCCCAGCTGGCAGTGTTTCTGTTGGTATAATTCCATCTCTCGTCCTGCCTTCTGTTGAGATGGCTGACTGGGTCTCTGGTTCCCACCCACACTAATCTTATCAAATGGTCAGTCAGCCATACACTTAGTGTTCTCTTCCGAACATATTTTCTCTCTTTTTTTTTTTTTTTTTTGCAATATGGATAGGCTGAGAATTTTCCAAATCTTTAAATTCTAGTGCCTTTATGCCAAATGATTATTCTTCAATTCATTTCTCTCTTCTTGCATTTTACCGTAAGCAAGAGAAATCGTGCCACTCCTTCAACACTTTGCTTAGATATCACCGCAGCGAAATATCCAGTTCCATCGCTCACAAGTCCCGCCTTCCACAAAATGCTGAACATCAACACAATTCAGCCAAGTTCTCTGCCACTTTATAACTAGGATCATCCTTTCCCCCCATTTCCAATGATAGCTTCCTCATTTGCGTCTAAGAGTTCATCAGAATGACCTCTACCATCCATATTTATACCAATATTTTTGCCCATTTTAATTTATGTACTCTCTAAAAACATGGACACTTTCCAGATCTCCTCTTTTCTGCCAGAGCCCTCACCAGAATTGCCTTTAGGAGTCCTTTCATGGTAGTCTCAGCTTTTTCTACCATGCACCTCAGGACTCTCTCAACCTCTACCCGTTACTCAGTTTCAAAGCTGTATATACATTTTTAGGTGTTTGTTACCGCAGGACGCCACTGCTTGGTACCAATTCCTGTGTTAGTCATCTCAGACTTCTATAACAAAATATCACAGACTGGATGGCTTAAACAACAGACATTTATTTCTCACACTTCTGGAAGCTCAGAAGTATGACGTCAAGGTGCCAACTGGTTTGGTTCTTGGTGAGGGTCCTTTTCCTGGCTTCTAGACAGCACCTTCTAGCTGTATCCTCACATAGCAGAGATAGAGGAGGATCGGGTGTCTCTTCCTCTTCTTCTAAGGGCACTAATCCAGTCATGCTGCTCTACTCTCATCTTCTCATCTAACCCTAATTACCTCCCCAAAGCCATTTCTCCTAATAATACCACAGTGGGCGCTTAAGCCCTCATTTCATGAATTTTGGAAGAATACGAACATTAATTCCATAAGATATAGACAGATTTGCAACTGTGTTTTTCAAAACGAAAATTGTACTTTTGAAAAAACACAGCAAACCTGGAAGATTTCAGTTAAAATAAAAAAGTAACACTAAGAATGTCCTAGAAGGCTGTAAACAATATGTAGTCCTAAAGTAATAGTCTACATCAAAAACTAATGATGTACTGTATGATGACTAACATAACATAATAAAATTAAATTAAATTAAAAAAAGTAATAGTGTAAATTAAATTCTTTGAGAAATATAAGAGAAGTATAAGAGATGATTATCCTCACATAAGGGGCTCATGCCTTCATTTGGAAAACTAGAAAAAAACATTAAAGCAACCCAAATGGCATTAATTATAAGTACCTGTGTGTTTTGAGAAATGAGGGAACTTTGGCAGTAAAAGGACATCAGGGAGGGCTTCAATAAGACATTTCAGTTTGAGTTGAAACTTACAGGATTAGAAAAGATTTCTAAAGCTTGTCTTCCACTGTGAACTTTATTATTTTGCTGTAAAGGAGAAGGCAGTGTAAGATTAAGAACTTAGTTTTTCTTTTTTTTTAAGATTTTATTTATTTATTTGAGAGAGAGAGAATGAACAGGGGGAGGGGCAGAGAGAGAAGAAGAGGGAGAATCTTAGGCAGACTCCCAGCTGAACACAGAGCCCTATGTGGGGCTCGATCCCAGGACCCTGAGGTCATGACCTGAGCTGAAACCAAGAGTCGGACAGTCAACTGACTGAGCCACCCAGGCGCCCCAAGAGCTTAGTTTTTCAAATAAAATATTCCATAGTCAGTATTTCTTCTTGTTTTTTTGATAGAGTAATTCTATTAAATACTAACTTGATGTTAACTCGAATTTAAAACAAAGGTCTGTTATAAATAATGTTTTATAATTTTACCTAAATGAATCTATATCTATATTGACATTATATAATATAATCAAATCATTTATTTAAAGCTAATCTTAAATAAACTTCCCCAGTTAAATTGGTACTGTTTTACCAAATATTTATTTGTATCATACATCTTTTTGCTCCATAGTTACTAATCTTAGGTTTTTAATTTAAAATAGATTCACTAATGTATTACTTCTTATTACAAGCTAGCTTGTTATGGAAAAGAATTCATTCCTCAAAAAAAATATTTATATATGCTTTCTGGAGTGATCTGACCACTAAAGACAGATTTCAGAAAAGTCATCTCTATTTGTATCAAAAGAATGCAAAAACGTCCGTGATATATTTGTAATTTTGTTCTGCAGTTGATGGGGAGCCACTGAGAATTTGATAACAATCATAGTCGCATTTGTGGAATATTCATTGGTATGAAGGAGACCAGTTAGCAGAAGTGAACTAAGTAGCACTGGGTAGGAAGAGGAGGAATGAGACAGCTTATTTCAGAAGAAATTGAGGCCCAGGATAAAACACCTGGCATGCATAAGGTATCATAGAATATTAGTAGCAGAGTCAAACTGAGCACCAAGACATCCAGACTCAGGCCCAGCCCTGTTAAGCTATTTCAAAACTCCTCATATCATTTGATTCCTTGACAACAAAAGAACTGCAATCGAGAACTGTCATTTGGAGCGATCATGTGCTACTATGTTGACATTTTAGTGAATAAAAGACTTTACTAGCCTCAGGACCATGAAAATACTCTTCTAGCAAAGTCTCAATAATTTTCCAATATGATTAAAATTCAAATTATGTCACCTTGCTTGTGAACAAAGTGAAAATATGTTTTGTATAAGTCTTACCGTTTGATAGTTTTAGCCAATTAACAAAACCTGACAGCTGGTCTAGAATTTGAGGTAAAATTCCCCTGCTGACTCAGGCAGTGAATAAGAATTTAATGTTCATTAAAATATGTCACAATCTGAGACCCAAAACAGGTACCATCTGCCACCAGTTCCTACTACATACCTAGGTAGAGATACAGTGTGCTCAAACTCTTTTATTTATAATCAGTGTAATTTGTTTTGAACTATTATCACCAATAGCCCATGGGATCTCCTCCTTTTCCTTTGAGGTGGGAACTGAGGAGTCAAGTATTTAATTTCCTCTAGATCTGTGCTTTTATCCAAACCGTGTAGACCTATTATTTTTTTATTTTTGTGTGGTCAAAACTGATTTTTTATTTGCTATAAACGATAAAAAGGAAAGGAGAGAAGAAACAGTGACCCTTATGAGGTGAATTCCAAGGCTGGTAGAATCACGTAGGCTAGCCTGGGAAGGCCCAAATTTGAAAGGAAATGTGCAGCTCCTGTGAGGACTGGTGGTGTTTTGCGGGGAAGGGCAGCTCTGGGAAGCCTGGTGATCCATGAGCCGATGGTGTGCAGGGGATACAGGGGTACTAGGGAGTTGAGGACAGTCTCAACTGTGGCTGTGGGACACGTGGTAGCTCAACAAGTCCCTATTGATAGTTCCATTCTACCGGGACTTGATTACTTTGCCTCACCTCCTGTCACCAGCCTCAAAGAATTCATGCAAGTAGAATCAATGGTTCTCAAACTGTGATCCCCAGACTGGGATCTCGTTAGGTCCTGGGACACCTGGATCTAACAACAGCTGGGAACTTGTTAGAAATGCAAATTCTTAGGTCTCAGCCCAGACCTGCTAATTCATACAGACTGGCAGTAGGGCCCAGAAATCTGTATTTTAGCAAGGCTTCCACGTGACTCTGATGTTCCCTCAAGGAATTCCTGGGCCTTTTGTAAGGACACGTTCATTTTGCACTTCTAACGTTGACCAGATAGGTCATGTCTGTTCTGTCTTCTTGAGCGGCTTCTTTGCTTCCTGTCTCTCCTTACTACTAGCCTGGCCTAGTTTATTGACTGTATCTTCCTGCCTATCTTGGAGGTAAGTCCAGGTGCTTGGCTTCTTTGAAAAATAAAAATACATTTCTTCTTTTAAAATCCTGGCTGTCCTCTGCCATGTGTAAGTTTTCTAGAGCTTCCTGAGTTTTCCAGAGCTCTCTGGTTCTCTGGCACTCCAAGACCTATGATCAGTTTTTGATATGCAGAAAGACATCTATTTTATACCCTAATAATAAATAACAAATCATAGTCATTTATTATGCATACATAAAATCCAAGCATAGAAGTATTGATAGTCAAGGATAGATGGGAGAAGGTAATTCATTGCTATGATTCAATGCTGTCATGGATTTCCTGTCTTCTCCTTCTATTAACTGTGGTAGAAGAGTCCTTTGGGTAGTGGGAGATCATGAAAAGAGAGAGAGAGAGAGAGAGAGAGAGAGAGAGAGAATGAGAGGAAACATTCCCCTAACAAGAGGAAACAAACTGAACCACTCACCTGCCATCACCACTTTAGAAAAGGCAGATCTAAAATTTACTAGCTAGAAGCATTGGTACAGTGTTCTTGTCATATAGATTTAGGTAAAAATATACAGATTCAATACTTCTACAATGTCATTATAATAATGTTATTACTTTACCTTGAGTCCATTTTCCCTAGTGGTATTCTTTAGTGGTGATTTGACTTTCCCCTTTATTTTTGTGATGCTCACGAAGTGCTTCTTCATTTGGCTTAATTTTAACACAGATGTCTTAGTTTCATTTGCCACTAAATCCCTTTGGGTATCCAATTAGTTTTATAGATCATCTAAGAAAAACTGTTTAGGTAACATGAAGTTACCCATAAATTTCCAACACAGATTTTTTTCCTCTTCTTCAAACATAACTCTCAGATCCTTGTTCTAAAATGTTTCCAAATCGTTACCCATTTAGCTTAAACAATGGTGCACCTCTGAGCCTTACACATAGAGCTATTTAAAGTAGCTTCTTAAACCCTGAGAAAGTAAGCCAAAGAGGATTGTATATACATCTTTATATTTTTAAATGTATTTAAAATGTCTTTCATTCTATCATAACTTCTTCCAAAAAAACCTTGAGATGGCTTGCAATGAAACAAACAGATGCCAAAAGTTAAAAGAAGAAAAGAAAAATGAGATGTCATGAAGGGATTGGAGGAATCTACAAATTTAAATTTGGGTCCTAGCTCTAGCCAGGGAGCTGAACTATTGTTTTACTATTAGTCCAAGTGCACATTTAAATTTGATGGAGGGCAGTCTGTGAATTAAATGAACAAAATCAATATACAAAACCAATGTATTACTAAGTTCCCACATTGAAAGTTTATTTTGGTATGAATTCTCATTAGAAATCTTAACTCATATTTTGATTTATTGCATTCTTTCAAACTGAGAAAAAATAGTGGAAAAAAAAAACCCTTAATTGCTGAGGAAAAATAGGAAAGAACTTCACAACTAGCTTTTATATCTTAAAAATAGCATGCACTAAGAATCCAATGTAAAGTACACCAGGTAAAGCAGATTCTGAATAAAGGGTGAGCTAATTGAAGGAGACATCAGAGCCTTCTGCAGCTCAGAGCTATCAGTGCAGTTGGCACGCCCAAATGAGCTACATAAAGTATCCTTTGATTTCTTTGTGTGTATGACACTTCAGTTCATAAGCAATCGGTACATATGTTTCATGATAATTTTTTTGCCATGTGTAATATCAGTTGTTCTTGAATTCGCAATTGTTTTGGAAAGACAGACTTCACTGTTTAGTTTATGTTTATTGTACTTGCTATTGCCAGAAAGAGGGGATTGCAAAGGGACTGTAAAATAATTTTCTCCTTTCTTTCTTCTTATTCTGTGTCTACAAGTTAAGTCAGGGACTATTATTTGGGAGCTGGAAATTGGATTTTCCAAAGTGCAGAGTAACCTTAATGGATAAAATGAAAGAATAAGCTGTCCTGATCTACTGATTTCATACAAGCCACTTTGTTTATTCATTCCATAGCAACCAGAGGGCATGTGTGACTCCTCATAACTCACAGGAACTTTGAAAATATGAATGTTATAAAAATTACTCCATAAAACACATATGAAAACATGCAAAGTGATTCCAAAGGATTTGTGTCACACTCAATTACTTAGTTCTATTACTTAATGGGCTTTAAAATTAGCTTTAGAAGATAATTACTCAGATAGCCAAATGTTAATTGAATAACAGATACTAAAAAAAATTTAAAAGTCAGTAAACTGCCCTTTGAGCAACACTACTTTTTTACTTGGAAGTCCCTTAAATATTTTTAAATAGCTCTTAAGTTTCTCTACTAGGTGTTTATGCTACATCTGACTTTTTTTTTTTTTTTTCCTTCACGCTTCTTGGGAAGATTATTTGGATTACAATTTTCTACTTATATTCTTATGGGCTCTTGATCCTTTGCAGGCACGATTACAATCTTATCTATACAAATGAGAAAATACATGCAAAAGCAATATGAACTATAGTGTTTTAGAAAATGTAACCTAGGCTTATTACATGTTCTTTCCTGTTTTAACAGGCCTTAAAAACAGATCTAGAAAAGAAGAAGCAAACTATGGACAAACTCTGCTCACTCAACCAAGATCTTCTTTCAACACTGAAAAACACATTGGTAGCCCAAAAGATGGAAGCATGGCTGGACAACTTTGCCCAGCGCTGGGATAATTTAGTCCAAAAACTTGAAAAAAGTTCAGCACAGGTTAGTGATACTAATTACCCTGTAATAAGTCATCCTTTAGATTTTTGAAATTTTCATTAAGAGAGCAGTGTTATAACCCTACAAAATATATCACTGGACTAGTCCTTGTCAAGTATTCCGTTGAATAAAAGCATGGGTCTCTTGGTTGTCTTGATATTGGGGAATGTGGGAGAGGTGAAGGAGTGAATGCTGACTGAACTAGTGACTGTCTTAGAGTGCGGCCCCTTCCAGTTCAGTGGGAATGAGGATGGGAGTGACTTAGAGCAACTGGACCAAGTTCTTGGGGACTATGTCTCACAACCTAAGCCCAAATCCTAGATTTCTAGAAACTGGAGGGCCATTCATTGGTCCCTACATTTTATATATGAGAAAAATGAAACATAGGGAGGAAAAATGAATTGTCCAAATGAAATTAGTGATAGGAGCACGGTTAGGGCTCAGGTCCTTTGATTTCATGGAAGACCTCATTCTATTACTTCAAGTAAGGATCTAATCATTGGATGTTCTTTCTGCCACAGACAGTTGATTCATAACACAAACACATAGACTGTGGATTAGGAAAGCATCTGTGTTCCATTTGTAGTGTCATCATGTGGTTTTATGTTAAGCATTTTAAAAGTTTTGGTAATTTAAAGAATATGGGGTAGTTTTAAAGTAGAAACTTTTATTATCTGATATTATTAGATGGTGGAATCATGGCTCATCATTCAAAATACTAACATTATATATAATAGTATTTAACATATTCTGCCATATTATTTTCCATTACAGAAGCTAACCTTTACTAATCAGTTGCAATTCATGGCTCAATGCACCATGCGTACATCTCTATTAAAGCAGTGACCACATTCAGTAGCTTTAGGCAGTCATCTCCTTTGTTATGAGACAATGCAGGGAATTTGTCTTCTTGACACTTGACATCTGATAAGTAGCACTTAGGAAATGTTTGTTGAAAGAAGCAATGAAGTTTAAAGTATTGCATCCAGAAATATAATTTAAGAAAACAGGATCAAGCAACTTGTATGATTTTCAATCACACTTCAACCTCCCTTCTGAAATTAAATTCATACTTAAAATTTTAAATTTGAAGGAATATAAATTGTAATTATTTCCTATGCAGTCATTGGACATAAATAAAAATTGTTTGTTTTCCATTGAGTATATTTTTATCAGTTGCTTGATCTAATAGTGATTTTAAAACCACATCATGATTCATCTTGTTATATATGATCTGGCCATGGTTACTTTGCCTTAACACTGGCATTTATGTAATAAACTATGAGGTATTAGAAAATTTGATACTTTTCAAACCATCAGTGATATCATTCCAATATGTACCCATTGGTTCCATAGATTATTGCTGCTGTAAAATGGTCACTTAACCATGTTCAGAAGGATTAGCATTGCCTTACAAAGAAAGTTATTTAGAAATGCATCCCTTTAAAAGGGTATATTTATGGAGATGTAACTGTTACCAGTAAGTCATGCTTTTGTTCACTTGCATTATATACAGTGGTTGGTTAAATGCTTGGTTCTGGATCTCATGCTCAGAGAATCTCATTCAGTAAACCAGTAATCTGCTTGCAGCCTTTGATAGAGTCTACAGAACATATTTTTAAAAAACATTGAATTAACAAGACAGTGGCATATGTGTCCATCCCCACATTGTGGGTTTTTCCACAGTGCTGCCTAAAATGGGGAAAATAGAGACCTTCCTATCAATGCTGTATTTAAATATACTTGCTTTCTTGGAATGAGCCTACTTTTTAAGGAGTGTTGTATATATCATCAAAACGTTACTGATTTGTTATTCTAGTTGGTAAAAACAACAACAACAACAGCTTAGAAACTTTATTTTTACTGGTCTAAAATTATAAGACTACCACCCAGGGCACTTACTCACCTTCCTATTTTTGAACTTTTCAAAACCTGTAATAAAACACTACTAGCTCTGATGTCCAACATACAGTACGACACGTTTCCACTGTATTTGCCCATTGGGATGTGATGAGGATAAAATAAAGTCATAGACATGAAAGCATTTTGGGGAAAAAAAGAACTCTGGAGCTCTTGATATACAGAACATACTGTTTAGTGAGTCTGGAGGGCTTTTGTAGTTCAGTATCATTTTTAAAATTTTTATTTTCACACATTTATGCACTACTATACCAGATTAGAAGCAGGTAAGTAGACATATTAGGCAAGTTGCTTTTTAGAATACTAAGCTTCAGCTTTTCTACAGTTCATATTTCAGGTTTTGTTCATTGTTTTTCTTTTTTTTTTTTTTTTTTTTCCCCAAAAGGAACTATCATAGCCCCAATCTAAAACATTGCTGGGGTGGGTTGGGACTCTTAGAAAGATAAAAACAAAGCTACCTGAGGACAGAGTAATGAAAAGGAGATAGAGAGAACCATGAAATAGTATCTTATAACTAAAAAAAGCCCTAGATTTTCTTTCTTAAATGTAAAATTGAACTTGATCAAAATTACATGGGAAAAAGCCCAAGAATATTGAGGGCAAGGTTCTGACTTTGAAAACAAAGCTCTCTTGTATGCACACTTTCTGGTATGTTTGTGGGGGCGGGGGGAGGATGTGAGAATCTGTCCCATTAATGATACAATATTGCAATCTCCTAAAAATTCTTTTAAGTGATTGGTTTAAAGAATGAGCAAAATCTGGTAATGGTTAAAATCCAGTAGGATGTAGGAATTATGGCCGAGATGACAAGGCATCCAATTGTGCTCTTATAAGGAACATTGTGTGCCTGAATTTTTGACTGCTATTCAGGTCAAACCTTTGAGGGATTTTGACCTTTTGAAACAGTAGCATGGCAAGAGATCAAAATATGGAAAAAATCAGCTGTGAGGCTGTTCTCTTGCATTTCAAAGTCAAGGTTGGCTTGAATAATACCTGGACACAAGCTGAGGATGCTTAAGTTGATGAGAAGGCAGAGTAAGAAAATAGAAATACTTTGTTTCCAGAAGTTAGGAAGAATAATAACCCTTGCTATGTGGGTGCTTCAGTTGAGAAAAGAAAACAAATCAAACATACTCTGGATTGACTTATTTAAAAACTCAAATGACCCCCTGTGTCCTCTAAATCTTTTATAAATATGCTTGTTGAAATTTACAGGTTTTTTTTCTTTTTCTTTTCTTTTTTTTTAAAGATTTTATTTATTTATTTGACAGAGAGATAGAGAGCACAAGTAGGCAGAGAGGCAGGCAGAGGGAGAGGGAGAAGCAGACTCTCCACCAAGCAGGGAGCCCAACGTGGGGCTCGATCCCAGGACCCTGGGATCATGACCTGAGCCGAAGGCAGCCGCTCAACCGACTGAGCCACCCAGGTGCCCCCACAGTTTTTTTTTCTAAATGCTTGTAATTTTATGTAATTTTATCTTGATTATAGTTAGGAAATAGGATAGCCAGAAATTAATTATAGGTAATACTTTAAAGTTACACATAATTTTAGCGATTTGAAACAATCTTTTCCCCCATTTAACTGAAACCATATATACTGTGGAAAGGGTATAATATTCATGTGCTTTATAATTTATTATGGTATTTTATATTAAACTTGGCATTAGGTGTTTAAATGTAAAAATATATCTATCTAGATGAGCTCAGAAGTTCTGTAGTTTTGTCATTGTTTAGTAGAGTAAATTATTTTATTTGCCAGGAGTAAGGGGCATTTTATGGCACATGTAAGTTTATACATGTCATTTCCATTTCCTGAATATTTTGCTATGTTTCTCTTGACCATTTTTGCAATGTTCTGAACTATAAGCCCAGATATCTTAAAGCTAAAATTAATGTGTCCAGAATCCTCCTCTCCTTGAACATGAGAGTACATGTTTATGTTGTATATTTCTCTATCTATAGTCACAGATGCTGAAAGAAAGTGATCATTATGTATGTATTTATCTATTCTATATCATTGATGTCCTGCTGAGAGTTTTTAAACTCTTGCCAGACATGGTTGTAGTGTAAAACATGGTTGAAGATAATAAGCCAGGATTTTTAGTAATACCAGAAACGCAAATACAGAGATGCAAAGGTATTAAGATGAATATTTCTTTATTTGCCTTTCAAGCAATGTTTTAAGCAGACTCCCTGCTGAGCATGGAGTCCAATGTGGGGCTCAATCCCAGGACCCTGAGATCATGACCTAAGCCGAAACCAAGAGTCAAGACACTTAACTGAGCCACCCAGGCACCCCTGCCAATGATTTTAATTAAAAATACTCTAAAGCCTTTCTGTTGAAAACCCCTTTTCCTTGGTTACTGAAAGTTCTCCAAGCCTAATCAGCCTGATGCCAATTTAAAAAAATGGTTTTATAAAACCTAGAATTAAAATAAAATCCCTTGATTTATTTTAGGTTTCTGTCTTTTTCAAGGACTATCACTACATCAAAAACTAATGACGTATTGTATGGTGACTAACATAACATAATAAAATTACATTAAATTAAAAAAAAAGGACTATCTAAATTCATGGACTAACCATCTTGAATTTTAGAACATCTTTTAGTTAATAGCTTAGGTTAAAGGTTTTATTAGAAAATTTCCAAGTAAATTAACTGTATCCTTTTCCTGCCTCCAACTAAAGTAGATGTTTGAGAATGGGCCTTGCATATCAATGTAATAGTTTTTATTTTATAATTCATTATCTACAACAACATAAAATGCTGCAGGCACTGAAAATTTAAGAGACAAGAGCTGAGTTAATTATTGGACACTCTCATTTCTTATTTATAAAATGGAGAGTCTGGGCTAGGAAGATCTCCATAGTGTCCTTCCAGTTCTCAATGCCTGTGATATGTTTCTCTTGGCTTAAAATTTTATATAAAACTCTGAAGTAATTGGTGAAGTGATTCCAACTATCTCTGCTATATCAATCTCAGAGTCAGCTGGAAGATGATAATGAAAATAAAAATCTCAGGGCGCCTGGGTGGCTCAGTCGTTAAGCGTCTGCCTTCGGCTCAGGTCATGATCCCAGGGTCCT